TCTTTACCACTTGTTTTTCAGGTTCGCCATGCAACATTGACACAACCAAGTAGCTTCCCTTTCATGCGATTCTTCCTGGCCCGAAACGCCGATGTTGTTTTTGGTTCGAGGCATTTCCCCGTCACCACCAATGCAGCGGGCTACAAGGCAGGCCGCGTGCCTGGCTTTGCTTTTCACTTCCCCCTTTGCTTAGTTGTTGAGTGGCTCCCTTTTTCCCTTTGTTTTGGGTGGCTGCCCCACTAAAATGGTCTTCTCAAACAAGGGTTCCTTTTTTTTCCAGGGTCACTGAACAACTGAGTTTGTGTTTTAAGGTCCAGAGGGTGATGAGGCCTTTGAGGGAAAACTACGGATAGGATCTGATTGGATCTATCGAACTTGGATGTTTGGTCCAGTTAGATGCCGAGTCGCAAGGAAAACTTCGGTTAGAATTCGACCATGGGGCTAGCTCCGCTTGAGCGCTCACTTGGGACTTGTATGTTGGTCATTGGTTGTTACCTGATGCTGGTGAGTACTTACTAACTTGGCCGAACACCCATGCAGCTACAGGAACCCAAAAACCCGCATGCATCCATTTTTTCGGGTTACTCTCTGAAAGGTTGCAAGAGAGTATCCTTGTCAAAACCTGTTCACTAGCACCCATTGCGTGTATCTCCCCCCTAGAAGGCAAGCAACAATAAGGGAATGCCACGTGGGCCACAATCAAAACCTGGGTGAATGAAGGTTAGTACTGGCCAATCCCAGCCAGCTGCGGATCTCCGCCTTTCTAATTCTTTAATTGTGGCTCTGGCGTATTTGCGAGCTTTCCAACTTGCAAGATATGTCCGTGCCAGAGTATGAGTTCTGTCAGAGTGCGGATCTGGATCTGAGCTCTGTTGACGTAGGAAGGTGTCAAATCGAGCTGGGTGTGCAAAAGGTCTGAGTTGAGAGCCTCAGGGTGAGTTTCAATCAGTGTTGAATTATCAGGAAGACTGGATCCCCTGGTAGTGCGCTTTTCCCCTTTTTTGGGCGAGGGTTCCCTACTAAACAGGCAACAGCCAAGAATTGGGTACCCTTCTTCTAACCTCTCTGCTGGAGGACCTAGAAGAGTTTTGCACCTGAAGTACTTTTCATTTCACGGCAGAGTCCAGTGCGCAGATTGTTTTTCTCACTCGCTCAAAGGCGGTGACACCTGACAGCTGCTTTTTCTGGCTTCGGCACACGACTGCAGTGGGTGGACCCCGACATTTGGACAGAGGTTCGACGGAATGAAATCGTGGATGGCGAGTCAAACGGCTTCTTTCTTGAGATCTCACCTGTTCTTGGACGTTAAACCCTTTTGGTGCCGAAAGATATGCAACAAGCAACGAAGCTCCCGCAAACTGTTTTTTGTTTCCTTTGCTGCTGCTTCGAAGGTTTCTAAAGCTTCGTCCTCCATTTGCATCGCAGTGGCAAGCAAGCACAAAGGCAGCATGGTTTTGGGACAGAACTCCTTCCTCATTTTTCTCCCATTCCCCTGTCCCCCTGTCCCCTACTTGGATGTTCCGCCAAGTTAGCAAGTGGTTGGTAACCTACGTGACCATCCACTCAAGTCGTGAGCTTTTGGAATTTCGGAATCCATGAAGCACTCGGTTTTTTGGAGCCAACTTGGGCCCTTTGGCCTTGTGAACGGTCGCGGGGGTTCTGAGTCCCGGTAGGTGCTGCCTCCGTACCTCCGGGTGATCCAGGGAGATGGCATCTCCTATGAGTCCTTGCAGGCCTCGTCTTGCGCAAGCGAGAAGCCGTGGGACCTGGGTTCGCCTAGACCCCCACGAATTTGCGTGGGGCGGTCCATTCCCATCGTGTTTTTTTTGTTTTTGTTAAAAAAAAAAAAAAAAAAAAAACGACAAGCAACCACCAAGCATGGGGGCTTCCCCAAAAAGATGTGCATTGCTTTGAATCCGGCTAGGTATAGCCCATGTAACTAGCCCTACGGTGCCCTACAAAGGTGAGGTGTGCTTTCGAGATGCCACTGCAGACGCAGGGCCTGTCTTAAACAGGGGACCCGAAATAGTGGTTTCCCTTGTGGATGTCCAGCAACCACCACCAAAATTGGGGTTACCCCCGCCAAAAAGACAACCCCGCTGGCAACCAGGGTTTGTTACATTCCTAGGGCCAACTCACCAGAAATTGGACATACGAGCCCCACCGAGACGGCCTAGGAGGGAGGGATTTGGGGCTACCCTGCGAAACCCATAACCCATGTACCCCTTAGTTGTGGGGTATTTCCATTTGGAGTATGAGGGTATTCAAGTTGAAACAGCTAGAAGCTACTACACTGGCCGGTTGAATCTGTTTCGGGCGCATGTCGTGACCTGTCGCGAGGAGATCTTGTCGAATATGGCGGCCGCTCGATGCAAGAGGTGCAGGGGCCGATGGGCCGATGGGACGTTGATAAGCTCACCTCCGATGGGTTCCTGGGCGTTCGACGTTTTGGGTTTGGACAATGACCTAGCGGTATATGGCTGTGGGTCAAAACCGTTTTGGGATCCCATTTGGGGATAGGTTACCATTTTGGGTTTTCGGTGCACCCATGTTAGTCTATTTTAGTGGGGATTGCGATGTTCACTGGGGGTAAGGGAGTTTGACCCATGGCCAGAGAACACGTTTGGACTTGTTTGGGCCAAACCACTCAGGAAGTGAGTGTAAACACTGTGCCGCTCGGATTTGTGGTTTCATGACTTTGGTTGCCAATGTGCCTTCGGGGCCTACATCGTTAGAATGGGCTGCTAGGGGTATTCTAAAGCCAGTTTGAAAGTGGTGATAGGGGCACGCACGCATTCACGCACAGAATAGACTAGGGTTGATCCCCCATTCCTTTCAACCGTCGTTCTTTTCAAAAAAAACTGCTGTTTCTTTTTGGGTGTTTGATGGTTTCCTGAAAAGATTCGGATCCCTGGAAAGAATGGAATTGGAAGGTACCCCTAGAAATAGACTAGTTCCACCCATGAGTCGCCTTGAAGGGGACCTGATTTGCCCTTTGATTCGGTCGGCACCCCCCGCCTGTTTAAGGAAAAACATAACCCGCGCATCCATCCACCCCTACCCGCCCACGAAGTGACGCACCCGCCCAGGCACCCGCCCCCCTGACACCTTCTCCAGGTTTCCCTTACGGAAATTGTGGTCACTTTGACCCCTTGACTTGCTCCATATAAGTGCGGCTTAAAATGAAAGAGCTAGGGTGAGGCGGGGTTTAGTCTTTGGTGGCACTTACCAAGCTGCGATGTTGATACGTGTTTTTGAGCCACAGCCATATGGTCATCAACCTCCCTCTTCAGGGGTTTTAGGCAAGGAGTAGTCCTGACAACTACTCCTTCGGAGATGCAAGTGCATGTGCACAGGCGAATTCACTCGCAATGACAGAACTGACATAACTTAAATCTGTCTGCGTCTCCAAATGTTGGGACCCCGAAAATGATTAGTTTCCTCTGGGTTTCCCTTTAAAACCACCAAACCACCAGGTACCCTCAAACAAAGGAACCACGCCCAAATCTGGCTTTGACCTCGCATAAACTCATTCAGGGCCTTCGGTACTTGGAGGTGTTCTTATCCAACTCAGGCAAAGCATTGGGCGGCCGAGAACGTCCTCTTCGGCTCAGGCGGCAGTGCCATTGTTTATGTTACACCCGACGCCTGGGGAAGTACCCATGGGCTATTGTCAGATGAAGCTCCATTTTTCACACTTTTGACCACTTCGGCATGTTGCTGGGGCGTACACAGGTGTAATAATAGTAATAATACTACTAATAATAATGATAGTAACAATAAACAAAGTGATAATAGTCATAGTCATAGTCTCATTTTCTCAGCTCACGGACTTCAAACTTTTCAGGAAGACCATCTTAGAAACACAGAGAGGGTACCTTTTTTGGCAGCGACGAACTCGATCGGAAGTGGAGTTTAATCTCTTCCACCGATTACACCCACAATGCTGACCCCATATTGGGGTGTCCACCTGGGTTGCGTGGTTGGAATTATCACTTTTGGAGGGGCCAAAACCACCCTCCCCAATCTAATAAACTGGTTGATTAGTATGGGTATGGGTCAAAATCAAACCACCAGGAATTGGACCGCAGGTTTAGGTCCATGTTTCCACTTACTATGGTTCCATTTGGGGTACCTAGAGTCCGCATGACCCTTAAAAAATGGTTGGTCATGACCTAAAATAGCGGGGTTTGGTGACCCATGTTTAAAGGGTCAGAAGGAGACTCCAGGTACATGTCCCATCCACCCCACCGAAAAGGAAGGTCCGGGGAAAAAAAAGGAAAAACATGGGCCAAAAGGTGAGGTCTAAAACCACCAAAAGGGGAAATGCAGGGAGCCCTATTTTTGACCCACAGCCATAGGTCAACATGATTGAATACGGCCCAAACCCAAGAGCCTTGGGATCTGTGCGAGACTCGCAGGCGAATGAGAAGCGGAATGAAATTTCAGGATCTGCCCTTAAAGGGAACCACCAGTTGGATGTGTTTTTGTTTCTTTTGGTCACTCCATTTCTCATTTTTTTGCTGAGCACCTGCAAGTGTTTGCAAATATAAGCCACTACTACACTCCTGCCAGCCCTGTTTGAGAGGGTGCCTTCAACACTTCCCTTGTTACAACTGTATGCAAAACACGTTTCCCTTGTGAATTGTAAGCCCAAGTTCAAAGTTTTAGTTTCAATGTCGCCTTTTGACATCCCAATTCCACAATAAACTTCCTTACTTGGCAGATTATGATTTCGGTCGTTCTCAGGAGACCTGGTTCTACGACACTAGTTGAAACCCCTGGGAGCCCCTTTCCCCTCCCCCCTTCGGTACCCGATGAATGAAGGGAATCCGGAAGAAGAGGGTGAACGGATTGAAGGAATTCCCATATTTCCCGAATTCCTGAGAGATTTGAAAATTCTTAGTACTCAATACCAGAGTTCCTGAAAAACAGAGAATGTCATCTTGTGTAGTCCAATATATTCTGGTCACGTTGTTTTCCATGTTGAAGCGGCGCGCAGCATTTCCGGCTTCCAGCGGTCGACCGAGCCTCCCCGTTGACTCCTTCGCTCGAGAGCGAGTAGCGAATCTCCATGGCGTCGTCGGGCGACTTCGGCGCCGGCAACCCCTATGGCGACCCCAACTGGTACAACGGCAACTACCACAGCCCGTGGCTACGTTGAATTTGGGGGTGGGCTGATTTGAGGTTTGTTTTTTTTGTTTCAGCCTGGTTCGCTTGAAAAACGCCAGAAATCCGTGTGTTTCCATGGTGTTGGTTTGAATTTGGGTCTGTCTTTAAATCTGTATGTACCTTGGGCACAATCTCCTTACCTGCTCTTGTGGTACCTGGGTGTCAAAATAGAGAGCCCCCCCACAAAATTGATTTTGCCTTTCCGGAAAAAAAAGGAAACCGACCTTTTTTGTTTAGGGTACCACAAAAACAGTTTTCAGATAAACAACTAACAAAATCTGACCCTTTTTCAGGAAAGGTACCGCGCAAAAAGACAAAAACAAGGAACCACCCAGCAAAGCTATAGGTACTCCCTTTTGTTTAGAGTACCGCAAAAAACAAAGAAACAACAAAACACACAAACAACCAAAAACCAAAAAGAAACAAACAATAACAACAACCAAGAACGGAACTCGCCAGAAGCGCTCGCTATAGGTACTACAAGGAGACCCACCGAGCCTGGCGCCAGCGCTGCCGCGCCTTTGTGGAGCAGCACATCATGCCCTACGTCCACGACTGGGAGGTGAACAAGGCAACCGACTCGAGTCGATGCGGCGGAGTCGGTTCGCGCGAGCGAGTCCAGGGCTCCGCTTTGTGTTTCGGTCGTTTTTTTTGTTTTTGTCCTTTTTGTTGTTGTTTTTCCCAGGTGATTACATGCCCCTTTTTATTTTTTGGTTTTTATAGTGTCCCAGGTGGTGCCCTGTTTTTGTTTGTGAAGCGCGTTTGGTGTTGTTTGCTCTCTGGCAGTAAGTGGGAACTTTCTTTTCCGGTGATTCCATTTCCCTCGTTTTGAAGGTTACCAAGAGGAACCTGGCTTGCCTGCTATGCCTATATTCTCCTGGGTTTGTTTTGGATTGTTTTCCATGGTGTCTCCCTGGGTTTCCCCCAGGAACACACGTGTCGGGGATGCCCCAAAGGGAGATATGTCTGCAAATGATAGGATTCCAAATCTGAGTGTTCCCAAATTCTGGGGGTGGGCAACACATCACTAGCTGCCATAGACAGAGTCTCCCTGAAAAGGCTGGTAGGAGAAACACAAGAAAGCTGCTCATTTGCATTTGCTATTGGCTATGGCTTTTGGACCGATTTCGCTCACCTCCCTTGAGCTTGCCCAAACTGTTTTTTCCCCAACAGCTGGAAGCTTTGGGGTCTCAGCCCAGATAGGCTTCGGGGTGGTCCGGGGCGGCCCTGAGGTAAGGTTCCACGAGGGTTCCACCAAGGTTCCACCAGGGTTCCACGAGGGTTCCACGAGGTTCTGTGAGGGCTGGCGTGGTGCAATCACCAAGAAGAGCACCGCAGGCTGTTGGGGATATCACATGAGCTTATTTTCTTTGACTCCAAAAAATGAATGACACGCCAGACATTGCACATGGTGGGTTGGTCTACTTTTGGCTTCCCCAACACAGAGCCCAAAGGACACCTTGTTTTTCGAACGTCCCCTTGGAGAGAAACCGGCCCCACCCGTTCAGTGGTTGCTCAAAGGGCAGCAAACCTTGTTGACTTTAAGCACCAGAAGCAGAAGCAACGACAGACCCACGTATGGTTGCACTCATCTGGGTGGCCCGTCCTTTGTTTGAGGGCCCCCAAAATGGAGTTTGAAAATTTCCTGGCGCTTTCACTTTAAAGCCACGCAAGAGGGGGGGGTTATGATCTCGTGTTTTCCTGGTGTTTTTTTTCCTTTAAAACCACAAGCAGGGGGGTGACAGGGTTCAAAGAATCATCAAAGCCGTGGTTGGGTTTATATGGTTGTGGCTCAAAATTAAACAGGAGGGGCAAACCGCAGGTTTTGGTCCATGTTTCCACTTACCAGGGTTCCATTTTAGTACCGTTTTTTTGAGCCACAGCCATATTTCACCACCTTGGTTTACTTAAGAATTTGTCATCCAGTTTTTTTGCAAATGCTTTACAGAAAGGGGACCTCCTGGCAGTTTTTGTTTGGTGTTTTTACGCAAGCACGTGTTTCTCAGTGCTTTGTTTTTGGAGGGGTGTTGAACCCTGGGGTCCATGTAAAGCTGCAGGGGAGTAGTTCACTCCAATTCGGAGCCTCCAAAAAAACAAGAACAGGAACAGATCCTTGTGCTTTCCCTTGAAAACCACTACATGCAGATTTTCCCGCTGTTTTCCCTAAGACCCCGCCCCAAAAAAAAAGAAAATAACAATAAAAAACAGAAAGGGGGTGGTACCAACTCGAAAAAGGACCAGACCCATAGGGCCCATGCCTCGCACAGGCGGTGCCCCCAGAGACCTACGTGCAGTGCGCGGAGGCGGGGCTGCTGCCGGTGGTGGTCGGCCCCCACTCGGGCGCCTACGACCTCGTACCCTACGAGAAGCCGCAGGCTGGACGGACGGGAGGAGACGTGAGGAACTCGCGTGGATTCCGGCCTTCTTGTTTTCTTGGGAAGCTGGGTCTCCTTGAATCTTGACCAACCAAAAAGGATGTTCTTCTTTTTTTGGGAAGCTGGGTCTCCTTTAAACTTAACCAACCAAAACAAGGATGCCCTTTTTGTTCCTTCTTTTTTGGAAAGGGGTCTCTTCTTCTTGTTTTTGTTTTGGCGAGTTCCCCGTTGAAACTCAGCCAACCAACAAAAAGATGCCGTTGCTGATGTTCTTTTTTTTTTGCGAAGGGGTCTCCTTGAACAACTTAGCCAACCAAAAAAAGGATACCGAAGCTGATTCTCCCATGGAAATCCACTGGACATCTGAGTTTCTTTTTTGTTCAATCAAGTTTAAGGGGAAGAACATCTAAGCTCAGGTAATTTGGAGGTTCAACAAACCTCAGTTCGGTGATCTCGCGGATTCCTCTGGTTACATTGGTACCTGGAAGCAAGTGGGCGTAACATGAAGCATGATGTGACATTGTTATATTTTGCGGTGTCTTAACCACCTAGAGTCTCCATGACCCTTAAAAAATGGTCGGCCATTACCAAAAATATTGGGGTCGTTGACCCATTTTTCAAGGGTCAGAAGGAGACTCCAGGCACTTGTATCGTCTGAACATGCCATTTGCGGCGCGTTGTATGGGCCTTTCCTGGGCGCGACATGATGTCAACGTCTCAGGACCTGGACTACTTCCACGAGCTCATCTTCGTGCTTTGGAACAGACCCGGGTCTTTGGTTGGGTTCTGAAACTCGAAAAACCGAAGGACACCGCCCAGCTGGTTTTGTTAAACTCGAAAAACATCAGAAGGACACCGCCCCAGAATGTGCCGACAGCTTTTGACCGGCTGGCTTCTCCAAATCAAATCCAGAATGTGCCGCTGCTTGAATGCATGTTCGTTCCGTAAGCTTTTTGTGGTTGGAGTTGGGGAATTGGGGAATTGGAAGTTCGCTGCCATTTTGGACGAGTCTCTCCTCACTGGGCTGCTGAAAAAGTGGAATCCCCCCAAAAATGGCCCCTTGGGCCAAATGGAAGCTATTTCAGCTGTGGCTCAGAAAGTGGAATCCCACAAAATGGCCCCTAAGTGGCAACTACCTTTAAAACGGAGCCCCAATTTGGGAAAGTCAAAGCAACCAGCTGCGTAGGTTCGAGCCACCAATTTGGGCAGAGAGAGAGATCTGGCTGTGGGTCAACACCAATGGGATCCCATTTTGGTGGTTTTCGGTGCAACACCATTTTTTACTCTTTTTTGGTGGTTGGATTGAATCGGATGTGAAAACTGGGGGCTAACCGATTTGGGTTTTGACATCGGCCTAGGTGGACGAGCTGGCGAGGTGTGGCAGCGGTGGCGTTTCTTGGCGAGCCAAAAGGTGGCATCGGACACCCCCAGCGGGTGCGGCCGCTGTTTCAGATGGTTCTGGGTTCAGTGTCTAGGTCCCCCAGCTAGGTGCCCTTTCTCACCCCTTCCTTTTTTTGGTTGGGAGGGTTCGGGACCCCTACGAAAATGGGCATTTCAGAACAAAAGGGTATACCCACTTATTGCAACCTCAAAAATCTGGAGGATCTAGTTGTACCAGGGTTTGATTTTGACACAAATGCCAACGCATTGCCTGTTTCTTTTTTGACATGAGTCGGTTCTATTCCCAGCAATCAGCTCTTGAGTTTCTAATGGCCCCCGCTGGCGCGGAGCCGGGAACCGGGAACCTGGAACCCCATATGTTGCTGGGAAGCAAACCAAACCTGGGTGAATATTTCCCTGTTTTTTTTACAAGGGAACCGATTTCACTCCTATAGAACAATATGTTTTTTTTTTTTTCCAGGGGACTTTTAAGCAAATAGACGTGGAGTTGACAACACCTCGCTTCCCCCAAAACACAAACTGGACTTGAGTCACTTTCTGGATGATGCTCTTTTGTTTCCCCTTGAAGCAACCCAAAAAAGGTACCCTCAACAAAAGACACCCCATTTTTTTGGGGGGAGCTCGCTGTTTGGTTCCCGACGCCTTTTTCTTGGGTGGGCAGATTCGGCCACCTGAGCTTAGTTGCGTTCCTTGAACCCGTGTCTTTCCTTTTTGGTTAGCGCACAGTTATTGTTTGGGTTGTTTTTCCAAGGGGAAGTACACGGGACCCACGTGGTTTTCGCATGAAAGAGACGTCGGGGCTGCATAGAAACTACAAACCTCACAATTTGAGTCTGTTTTTCTATATCCCCCGTAAGTCAGCATAGAAGGCCTTTTGGCATCAATCGGGTGAACAGCGTGTTTGCCGGGAATTTTGCAAATACTATTGTTTTTGACAGGCTTAAGAATATTTCCTTGTTTTTGGTGGGCCTTTGGCTAATTTCCTTGTCGTGGTTCCCAGCCATCCCTTTCGGCTTTTAGCTTTTTGGGGTTAAGTGATTTCCATCCAACCCAATAAAGGTTAAGCTTTTGGCAGGGGATTCGGACACAGCCAGCAACCATTTGGGTGTCTTGGAGTCCAGTGTGTTCCGTTTTTGATGGGTTCGGAGCGGCGTCAAATCTGACAAACGGGATGCCATGAGGAGTTTTTTGGGCGCAAGGTCCTGTGGGGCCTCATCGAGGGTTTGCAGATCGGCCTGCCCCCGGT